TCCTGCTGTCCCTTACCTTCAGTGATGCTCATTCATAGCTGCTCTGCCAAATGGTACCCTGAGACATGGCAGCAAAAACCCAAAGTTGTGACTGTTGGTTACACCTTGGCTGTGGGGCTTGAATAAAGCTTTCAGTGTATATCGGGGTCTGTTTGGGTTAGGGTTTGTGTCTGGTGGATCTGGATAAGCATGCTAGCCTCTCTGAGGAAAGCAACATGATCTTGAGTCAGTTGTCAATTATCCAGATTTATGGCCCCACTCAATATAACACAAACTGATAAGCACTCATCAGCAGTAAAGAGGACCACACCTTTGTTCCATGCCAGTGGCACAGCGATTGGCAGAGGGGTTGTTTGAGAGGCATGGGGTCAGTGAGGAGCATCAATAAATCATTATCAGTCTCCCACGGGGATAATTACTGAGCCAAAAGCATGCTGAAGGTCAGAGTAGGTATCCACAGCCTTCTCCGTGAGCATACCCCAACCCACCAAGGTGTCACATCAGAATGTTCCCTCACCTACAAATATTACATTCAGAAGGCCAGCAGTAAAGTCTCTGCATGGGTAGTTGCCTTAAGACGTTTAGCCAACAGAACATGGGATGCTAACTTCACAGTGCTCAGAACCACAGCACTTGCAATGATATACGCCCCAGCAGATTACTGTGCTCCTGTATGGTCCAGTAGTTGTTGCACTAAAAAACCTGACACTGTACTTAACAGGGCACAGAGACTCATAACAGGCTGCACAATTTGCACACACACAGTTGTATTCTCTGCACTGTAGGGCACTGGATCAAGTGAATGGAGTGAATGAAAATGAAATGAACATTCAGTGTAATCCACTCTGAAATCTATTCCTACAGTGTTTTATACCAACACCAAATGAGTCTTCTATTGGGCATGACTTTGACAGAGAAGCATTAACTGAGATCTGGATATGGATACTATAAAATAACACTTCACAAGATGAATATCATGGACAGCCCCTGTTTGAATGCAATTTCCAGCAGACAGCACAGTGCTTAATCAAAAACTACCATCTTTACAAATGCTTAGATTCGGGTAGATGAAATGTGTACAGACAGATAATACCAGACAGTAGCTTGTAGCTCTCTGGAGTGAAGAAGGAGGAGGGTGTGTGTGGAAACAAGGGCTTTGCCATCTCAGGTCACTGAGAGCCTGGGGGTGGGGCTGGCACAGTACTCAGACAGAGGAGACAAGCTCTGGCCTGGGATAGATCACTGCCCCATAAGGAGGGTGCCACAGTGCTCCATGGGATGTCAGCAGAATGTGACCTACTGTGAGTCGAGATGGGATGTGGTACAGATGTTCATTATGGTGCTGTAACCTATAGTGCTGAAGTCTGATACCATATTCAGCCAGGGTTATCTTAGAATTGGATCCATCATTTTTACAGTGCTCTGTGGGTTTCCCATGTGCTCTTTGAAGCTCCAAGAATTTGGGGCAAGAATTACTCCTGGGTCCTTTCTCGGGGACCAAACCTGCCAACACACAAAGCCCAGTGAGATGTTACACTGTGAGGGAACAACTGAGTTTCAAAGTCGAGGAAGACAGTTTTAAAAAGATTTCTGGAACTGTGGTTATTTTATTGAATCTAATAAACATACAATTTCTGCTTTGTTGAATCAAAGTTTAGTTTGTGAGCACAGAGATCAAGCAAGCAATGCCCTTAATGTAATGATAAGTCAGACTTTCTCCATATCCCCTCAGACAGCAAACATCTTAAAATAGCATTTAGCACACTCTTCTCCCTCTCCCCCACAAAGACAGAAGATCAATTCATTTTAAGTGGTATAATTTGACATGCTCCATTGAAGTAAATGGAGTGATGTCCATTTCCATCAGCTGAAGATCGGGCCCAGAATTATTAACTGATCTGACCTGACAGAACTCCACCCTTTCAAATATTTCTTTTAATTCATACAGCAAGTATGATAACATTCCTAGGCAAGCTGTCAAAGCAGTATCACAGTGAGGGATAAGTGAAAAATGTATTCAGCAAATGAGCATCTTTTTCTGATCAGTAGATGGAGATCTCAGGTTTTTTTCACTATTGAAAGTTTTCACCAAGCTTTTATGATTTTTTGTTTTTAATTCCAGAAATTGGTCACATGTAGTTCTTTGTAAGTATTTGCTACTTGAGTTATGATACTTAGATGTGACTAGTCAGATAAGTCACAAGGTATCATAATAGATGATGCATAACCATATCCAAAGCAAAGACTTACACTCTAATCAAAATTTCACCATTTCAACCTTGAAATTTGCTTTCCAGGGATATGGATACCAGTAAAACTCAATTGTACAAATATCTGTGGCAGTGAATGTGAAAGAGAGCAATCATGGCCAAAGGAAATTAATTTATAAATATCAATTATTAAAAGAAATTTGATTTTATTTTGCTTTTGTGCATTACTTGCATTAGTGTCTTCTTGGCAATGTATTCCTGGATGTACCATTTCTCTCTAAGGTAGTAATTTCCAGGAATATTTAAAAGTTTAGGGAGAGGCCCACTGCAAGGATGTTGTTGTGTTTAATTACTCTTTACACATCTGCTTTTATGGTGGTGAAATTCTGTTGTATGTTCTGTAGTGGGAAAGTAAAAATTTTGACCAGGTATTTTTTTTCACCCTTTTAAACCTATTTATTAATATGAGACCATATGCAGCAGGATTTGAAGCATGTCAAACTGGGGATGCTTGGACCTAATCCTCCAATTACAACTCATCCTGTCTTGATTTGTTTGGCTGAACCTCCTAGACAATGTTTTCACTACCAACTTTCTCTTTACTTCAAACAGTTTCCCTTAGCTGTCTTCCTTCTACTTTCCAACTATTTCTGTCAACTGCTGCACAAGTATTCATTTTTCCAACAATAGGACATGTTAAGTTATGAATTTGGTATATTTGTTTAAACTGAAACATATGTCAATCAGGCACAAACCACAGCTTTGTAATTGGAAAAACACTGTACTATTTTTAGCTCAAAATAACAGCACTGACAAAATCATGTCTTTCATATCTCAGACTGTCATACCTTGCATCATAGGTTGGTAGGTCTGATAGGTGAAGAATATGACATTGCACTGCAATCAAGACCATGCTGAAAAGGAAGGTCTTCCTTTTAAGAAGATTCTTTGATCAAGAAAATGATCCTTCTGGTATTTTGATAGCATCTCTACCTGGAAGGTTTTCCCTGCTGCTGCTTTCTCTACTCACACATGAGGATACAAATATCTTCCTCTGAAGTCAGTAAGAATTTTTTGTATGCCGTAGGGAGGGAATGAGAATCCAATACTCTATGGACTGCCGACTGCTCCATTCTCCAGAGTAATCTGATAAAAAAGCTAATGGAAAGCTTGCTCTAAGATTAACAAATGCAGTGTAAAACTGCTATTAGGGCTGTGCGAAGCTTCAGTCCCTGATTCAATTTGGTGGACATTTGGCCTAATTCAGTGGCCGAATCTCTGAATCTGAATTGAATCAGGAGACCCTTTAATCTCTCCGAATCAAATCGGAATCCTCCGAATTGATTGGAGAGATTTGGAAAGATTCAGCAATTCGGCCATAGACACAGCTTTAAATGTTTTTTCTGTATACCTCAAGGTAGCAGGCGGCTCATAAATGCTGCAATGGTGGACTGGATGAAGCATCCCATAGCAGCGCAGGGGGCTCCCCAGCATGCTTGGCAGCAGATCCGGAAGTGGACCAGAAGCACTTCTGGTCCACTTCTGGGTCTGCTGGGGAGTACACTGGGAGGCGGCCCTCGCGCCCTCCCAGCTCAGCAACTGGTGCCTCCTGGGTCTGGGGGGCACCCAGGGTCCCCCTGTGGCCAATCACCGAGCTCAGGGTTGCGGGGGGCCCTCAAAGCGCTCCCCTGGCAGACTCAGAAATGAACTGAAAGTACTTCTGGCTCTCTTCTGGGTTTGCCGCTGAGCACATGGGGGGTCCCCCATGGTCCTGTGGGATGCTCCATCCACCCCAGCATCACAGCATTCATGAGCCATGCCAGGTACCTCAAGGTATGAAGAAAAAACATTTAAAGCTGCGTCTATGGCCAAATCTCTGATTCTCCAGATCAGCATCGAATCTTCAGATTCAGATTCGGCTGAATCAAATCAGGGACAGTGATCCAAATCAACTAATCGAATCTCTGTCCCCAGTTTGAGCTGAATCCAAATCGAATACGGCCCACTTCGCACACCCCTACCAGCTACCTCTTCCAATTCTCACTTCCCAATGAGTTTTAAAAGTAGTTTAGCAAGAATGTATATGGTCACTATCATAAATACCTGGCACTAGCAATTTCTTCATTTGTAACACTATACATGAAGATTTAAAAATGCAAAAGCATAGAAAAACTGAATAACCAGGAATCCTAGACTATAAACATTTATATTTTGCTCAAGAAGTTACAACAGGAATTTTAAGACAATATTCTCAAAACTGGTTCACCATTTCTATGCACAAAACCAAAAAGTTTATATTCATCAGATAGGAAAATGTGTGCATGGGAGGAAAGGCATAAAATTACCAATTTGCAAATACCAGTTTTGGTGTTGAACTATCATTGTAAAACATGGCCACATGTATCAGGTCTCATTAATTATTACAATTAATTAAAGCAATATGCTATTTCTAAAGCAATATGCCATTTTCTACTTTCAAATCAAAATATTACTTCAGAGGGTGAATATAATAAGCAAATCTAACTATGGGCAGCTTCTATGAGATCTTATTTTGCTGTTCCTTGGAAACCATATTTCATAAAAACATATTTAACACCTTCAGTTGACCTCTAACCAGAAATGCATTATGCTATTCAAATTCTGTCAAATGCAGTAAAAAAATAAGTAAATAAAAATGCCATTAAAAGGAGAAGTTATCTTACTTGGACAAGTTCTAGCATTTTATTTTCTGACAGCTCCCAATTTGGACATCTTCCAATGTCAATAAAACTTGTTCAAGCAGAACCTTACCTGGTTTTCACAACATCAAGTGGATGCATCAGGCAAATTTCTACAAGACCTGTAAGATGATAAAGAAGAGAGGCCTTGTAAATATTTGTGCAAAGAGCAGTTTATGTTTCACTGACTGCAATGGTTTTCTATGTCTGACTGTTATAAAAGAAAGCTGTGTACAATTAAGAAAACTGAACTGAAGGCTGCCAGTAAATTACAAAAACATGTACAATATAGTAAAGATACTCTTATTAAGTGTAGCTTATTTGGCTTTTTTGGGGGGAACATTTAAGAAAATATAAGCTCTTTATTCTCAAATTTCTAAATGGATTAATCTTGAATTGCTACTCTATAGCTAGAAAAGATACATGAAAAATTATAGGAGTCAAGAATTATTAGTAGAATCAATGTCTTGATGTATTACTCTCAGACCAAAATTATTGTCTGGCAATAGTTTTAATTATTTGCAAAATGCAAAATATGTATATCATCCTTTGCTAAATTATTTTTTCTGCCCCATTTTGAGCAACATAATGGAGCATTTAGATTAGACAGCAGAGCAGAGACATTGTTAGCAGTCAGCACATATAAAGGGACATATAAGTGTCACAACCCAAAGTTGTGGTTTTTCTTGTTTGTGTGTGCTTCGGCATCGCTAAATCATGTTCCCGCCAAATTGCAGCTCTTTTGCACGGTGGAGTGTTCTGCTGCAACAGAGACCCCGCGTGCAGGAGCTTTTCCCGCCAGTTCTGTAGCTTTCTTTGCATAGTGCATTTCTTTTGCATTATAGCAATGCGCGATGCAAGGAGTCCCTGCCATTTGTATTAGGATTCGCGCCACATTATTGGCCAGTCTTAATGTAGGCACACGTGGCAGCTAGCTATTGGCTTGCTAGCCGTACAAAAGGCTTGGGTGGTTTCCGCCCAAATCGGAGAGAGAAAAAGAAAGCACGTGGAGTTCGGGAAAGGAGCGTGAGGATCTCTAAGCGCTGCTGATCCATACGAACCCAGCTTTTTCCTTAAGAAGGCAACAGAGGTTTAATTTATCGAACCCACGGAGCTTCAACAACTCCGCGGGACTTATTTACCGTCCCCTCGGAACCTTAACGACTCCGAGGCAACTAACGTCTAGCCTCTCCCCGTTGCCGATCGCAGCCCAGACGTATCCCTATCCTAAGGATCCAATTGTCGAGCCCATGGAGTTTAACAGCTCCGGGGGACCTGGGAACCGAGTAACACTCATGGAGATACAGCTGCTCCGTGGGAACGAATTCTTGAACCCCGTGGAGCCTGAATCACTCCGGGGTCAAGGAACCGAGTGTATTAGAGTCCTCCACCGAGAACTCAAGCGGAGCTGAGCCTGGAAAGCTGACCAGCCTACACCGCGACCACCTTGGGTGTAAGTAAATAATCTTTTCAATCAACCATTACGCCTCCGTGACTGATTCTAGCTAGAGCATGTCATACCGCACCGTGGTCTTTTCCAACCCCGTGTACCCGGGCTACTGGCCACAGTCTGTGTACACACAAAGACGGGTCCCCGGCTTGCCCCGGCTCGCACATGGCGACCCAAATGGGATCGGGAGAGAGCTCGCACATGGCGATCCAGGCGGGATCGTGAGCCGGCCCGCACAATAAGCTTATGTGGAGAAGAAAGCTAGTTTCAGCTCAGCAGAGGCCCACATAGTCATTCATGAGCTCATGCAATTATTGACTCTTAAAGTGCACTATTATTAGCTACATGTTGTGTTGTACTTTACTCTTCTAACACACGTCAGAGATGCTTGACATCTGCTGGCCTTTTTTTAAGTTCACCTATTCCCTGCCCATTTATACATGCACCTCCATTCCACACACACTAAGAAAGCAGAAACAATAACATAAAAAGGAAAAATAAAATCAGGCAAGAAACCACCACACTGATCTGCTCATAGTAAAAGTGCATTGTTGAAATTTGAGATGTGTCAGCCTTGGGGGTTGATAACAAACTACACAGTGTAAAATCTGTTTTAAAATTTAAAAAATATATATAGCCAGAGGGGTGGGAGTGGGCAGGGGGAGAAGGAGAAGGAGTGCATTTATGTGTGCAATATAAAGACTAACACTGATGTCACCACATGGCTGAAAAGTCAAGCCTACAGGAGTCAGAATACTCAAACACAGAGTTTTTTGCAGCAATGGGAAATCTGTTGCATTATCACACCAGCAGATATCTGTGCCAGTGCATAGGTTGGCCTGTATACAGAAGAGATCCACAGAGATCTGAGTTTTTATCCATTATTGTCCATGTACAGACATTCAGTTTCTCCTGGGGGAGTCAGTGCTCTCCCAAGAGAAACCACAAGTGTACAGATATCCAATATTTTTCTTCCAGAGCAAAAATGGTCACACTGGGAGAAAAATTGCCCCGAAACAACCATGGCTAAAACACTCCTAGGAGAGTTTCTCTTGGGAGAGTGGATCTCTGTACATGTTCTCTTCTGAGAGAAGTCAAAGCACAATCCTCCAGCATCCCTGGCTGTTTTGCTCCCACCACACCCTAGGGACACAAAGTGTTGCTCACTGGACTGGACTGCTCCAGCCAAGCAGAGAACAGAATGCACCCCTTTAACATTGTTCCACAAGGAGGGAGCCTGCGGAGCATGCTGAGATGTGTGTATAGGGCTGGCTTTACTGGATCAGCACTACAAGCTCTTTTCTAGATCACTTGAACATGTGTATGCAGCCAGTCACTCTAAATTAAACTGTTTTTTTTTTTTAGCTTCAGACATTTCTAAATGACTAAATTACAAAATTTGAAGCAGGAGGAAAAGTATATTTTTCACATTTACAAAAGAAAAAAATGGACAAAAAATTAAACAAAATATTTTACAGCTAATAAACTAGATTTTGTGGAGATGTTTGATGTTTATTAGATTCTTTTGCAAAAAGCTGCACATGTTTTATATTATTCTAGGGCTGTCAAATGATTAAAAAAATTGATTGCAATTAGTTGTGCAATTAAAAAAATTAGTTGCAATTAACTGTGATTTTAATCGCACAGCTAAAAACTCAAAATTGTGTTCAGAAAAACTCAAAATTATGCAAAATTATACAGGTACTTTGTATGGTTGTGGGGTGGGCGTGGGGTGTATGTGTGGGGTTTGGAGCCCGGGCGGGGAGGGGTTCCCTGCATACCCTTCCAGGATGCAGGGTACTGTGGGTCAGGAGTGAGGGGCAGAAGCAGGGCTGGGTATGGGGTTGTGGCTTGGGCATGGCCCCCCCCACCCCGAATCATATTACGCAACTCCCCGGTATCCTCTTTTTTGAAACTTTTGAAACCGGAAATATGGTAACCCTACAGAAATGGAACCCAGCAGCATGTAGAGCAGTGCCCAGCAGGTAGGTCTGTGGAGGGGAAGGGGTGGGGAGAGAGGGAAGAGGGCAGGCAGATGAAGGCTCTCACAGTGAGGGTAGGAGTGCGGCAGGGACTGGCGTGGGGGCAGATGCTGAGGTGGTCATGGGATGGAGCTGTGGGAGGCTAATCCAGGGTTGCAGGGGGTGTGGCTTTCCACTGCTCAGTGGCATACCAACAGGGGTGGGCAGTAGGGGACCATGACCCCTGGACACCAGCCTCGGGGTGGGGGTGGCAGCTGGAGAGCCTCCTGCATTTTGTGTGTGATCCACCCTCCTGCCCAGCGGGTTGTGGCTGTCTTTGGCCATTCCAGCCAGAAATTCCAGCTGCCGCCCTCCCCCTGCAGCTGGCATGCCATGCTGCTAATTCCCTCATGGAAGTGCCATGGTGTGGGAGGCGGGGCTTCACACAGGATGATTTGCCTCAGGCCCTGCACTCTGCTGGGATCGTCCCAGGGTCGGGGGGTGCAAATGCAGGCACTGAAGACCCACAGGAAGCCACTGCTGCTGCTGTGCATACCCCCGAGGGAGGCATAGGGAACATGTGCATGGGATGGAGGCAGGATGCCTGCTGTGGACTGGGGCTCTATACCCTGCTGCCTTTGCCCCAGAAGCCATGTGCTGGCCATGTGTCCCCTGCCCACGCAGCGGTGGGAGGCACAACATGGGATCACACAGCTCCTGGGGCAAAGCCAGCAGGGCACAGAGCCCCAGCCCACAGTGGGCAGCCTGCCTCTGCCATGCGCACAAATCCAGAGGGCACATGCCCCCCATACCCCCCTCAGTGGTGCACACAGTGGTTGGGAACTGCACTCCCCCCTGCGCCCCTGGATGAGCTGTCCATGGCTCCATGACGTACCCCAGCCCTGGGGTCCCATTCACCCAAGCCCATGCTCCTGCCCCACTCCTTCCCTCACTGTAGGGAACTTGATCTGCCCCCTCCCGCTCCCTCCCTCTCTCCCCATACCTTCCCTTCCACAGACTTATCTGTTGGGTGCTGCTCTACACGCAGTCAGGCTGCGTTCCTGGCCATGTGCATGCTGGGGCTGCTCATGTCCATCTGTGTCTGTGCCTGCAACCCCTCCCCCACCTTCCTGAAGCAGCAGCCCGGAGCCTGTGCTCGGGCTGCCCTGTGGTCATCTGCACTACCACTGCTACCCCAATGGGCAACCTGGAGGCCTCGGTGATGGCAGCAGAGTGAAGCCTGGGTATGGGCTTCAAAACCATGTGTGAAATTAATGTGTTAAAATAATTAAGGCAAGAACCAATTAATGCACTAATTGTACATGTTAACGACAATCAATTTAGATCCCTAATTATTACTTTTATTTAAATAGAGCAATTGCTCTCTGTCTGGTTATACAACATTATTTGCTGTAATCCTGTAGCATAGAATTTTTTCACAAACTTATCACTAAACAAAATAACTCAGAGCACCTGTCTCATACATTGCTGTTAAGGTATGTAAATCCCTATACCTACACCAATTTTTTGGACACACTGGGTGCATCTACATGTGCATCCAACTGTGCAGTTGTTACTTGCTTTAGCTAAATGATTGCACAGTAACTACCATTACAATGGTGAGGTAGCATCTTGTGTAGATGCGCCCACTGAGAAAATAACAAAGCTTCATCACTTCTCAAATATTATAATACTTGCAAAGTTTATAGAA